TATTCTTCAAATAAATATACGACTCTTCATTGCCTGGAGCAAATCCATGCTGACTTGCTTGCTCCCTCAGCGTGGAGCTCAAAATGGCTAATGGAATTCTCTCCGTCTAAATGTCGCTGTATGTGTTTTGGATCTGATAGGCACACTAATTTTTTTTATTGCGTATATAGGTTACATCTGCTTCTCCTGAACTATACTACAGTACCAGATGTACGCCCTTGTTGTGTTCCCTGACAGAGACGCAGTGGGGATTGTTGCGAAAGCGTGGTTTGTTGGTGAAGGTAGCGTACGCTGGTCTGAAATCCGCAACCAAAGACAATATTTGCTGAGGAGAAATCTCCAGATGCCCGAAAAGACGAGTATCTACTCCGTCGGAGTCTTAGGGATAGTCTTACTTTGGAGAAAGCCAGAAAGATCTTCAGGAGGTCGGAGGATACAGATGACATATCCAGCCCTGAGCCCGCAGATTTGGGAAAAGGCCGGAGGATAAATATGTGCCCATACCTTTACAATATTTTCCTAGATACGTCCGCAGGTTGACATCAGATTCGGAAGATGACGAGTAGAACTTATACCCTCGAAAGCGGCCTCAGCGAACAGTTACTCGTTGGCTAACGCAAGCACCAATCTTCCAGGAAGCCTAAGTATCTAAAATGACTTGTAGGACCAGGCGAGACATGAATCTGCTGAGCAGCTCTTCGGCGTCCAGTAGGCCAATCCAGCCTCCGGTGGTTGCCCCCAACCAGTAAGCATATTTTTTTGATTTACAGTTTAGACTGCCAATCGGAATATCAAACGAATTTGCCCTACAACATTGCTGTCCGCAGGGTCACAAATAAGTGGAGTGTCTTCGGTAGGACTAATCACAGAGACAGATTATGTGGCCGAGCTGTTCGTCACTAACTCTAATGAAATCGAGGATATGAAGGCAACTTCAGCCGAGATTCCCCGAACAGTGCAGATTAACTCCGTTCCTGCCAGACAGACGGCTAAAATTTCCAATCTGCCACTGCGCACCGAGGAGGACTATAGTGAATTTGCTTCTCCGTTAGGTTCGGAAACAGACTACGGACAGGAGGTGGTAAGTTCACGAGTTTGTCTGTATACCTATCGCGACTTCTAGACTAAACAGCTGTCCGTTGTCGGAGGACGCAATGAGCGTCAGTTCGTCAGAAATCTCCTGACTACTATGCTCGGTCATCCACTCTGCCTCAGTGTCTGCTGGGGAGGATTGACGGATAAAAGGTCATTATTCAATTCTCCCCTCTAAACTATACTCTACGACAGATAAAATTTTTTGACATCCCCGGACGCCATTAGGGTTAAACCCGACCTTCGAAAATTCACAGGTAAGGAACTACGTTAACACGCCATTAGCTGGCTCCACGGAACCAGATACAGGTACGGCGGGAGATCCAAGCGTCGGGAAGCCGCGGAGAAGGTAATTTGAATAATTTTATTTTTTCCAAAGATTCAGCATTTGCGAGGCTGAGACTCCACAGACGCGTGCCCTAGTCTGTCACCGGCAGAAGATACGATAATTGTCTTTTGAACTTACCATTAATAGACCTAATTCTACACTGTTCATGAACGTATTATTACAGTTTTTGCCTACTTTAGTAGTATGAAAATGTCGTGTGCAAATTTTAAAAGAAGTACCTTTTTCGTATCCATAGAGGTTGCGAAATAAGCTGATTAATAGCCACTATGAATTTCATAATTATAGCTTGGGATCATATTGTAATTACATAATAAATGTAATTGTAATTATAACGCATTAAAGGTTATTTTACATATTATTGTATTATGTTGTTGCTATATTATATATAATTATTACATTTTACATAATTATTATATATTACTAAAATTATGACTTAACTTCCTGATCCCTATGACATGTGAAAATTTCTCCTTGAACTTATAAACTCATTTTCTCTTTTAATTACAGGACCCTGCCAACACATGGCCCCGCCTTGTGGGTGTGACCAAGCGTGGCTGGACGTGGCCATGGCCGCGCCATATTTTGAGAAATTTCAAAAGTCGTTTCAGCCGCTTAGACGAAATTTTCTGTGTTTTAATGTTGCGCATTTGCCTAAATATACGTTAATTCACCCAGAAAGTGCCTTGAGTCTTCACTTCTTGGGGAATTATAATTTGCCTGGATAAGCCGATTAGGACGCTGTTGTTAAAGTGGGCCACTTGGACGCCGTTTCTCTGCTGCTCGACCGGACGCTCGCGACAAGGTGGTACGTTTTCCCACGTCGATTTCATGTCTATCGCGTCTTTATAGTCTTACTTACGCAATTACTAATCTCTTTTATGCTATGCAAGTAGGTTTACTAACTTAATTGCAAATTTAATCTCACAGTGAGCGTTTCAAGTGCAGTTCAATTTTTTTAACTTGTTTTATACCCATCAGTGAAAGCAATCATGAAGCGCAAGTATTATGGCTTCCATCGGAGCACAATTTACAAGCGGATTGCGCGTGAGAAGAAGGCATATTATGCGCATATGGCTGATTCCTCCGTTCCCTCTACGTCATCGGTTTTAGACCAACCACCGAAAATAGAAATGCCCGAACTAGTCCCAGTAGTTTGCACTGGTAGTCATCTTACTGAGTTACTCAATAACAAATTAAGAGCCAGTAGACATAAGCGAGGACGCGGTCGCAGGCAAATGCTGTCTGGCGGATTTACGGGAATTCTGCTTGGAGGCCCAAATGCCACTATCCACAACAAAGAAGTTGTTTCGGATGCTGCGGCCCTACCACCCAGAAGTGCCTAAAGACCCAAGAACGCTATTGCAAACGCCTCGGACCTGCATTAGCAAGCCCCTGAACAAAGGCAACTATGTTCATTTAGGTCTTGAACGTGGTCTGCTGGATCAACTGCACAGTCTGTCCGAAACAAGCGTTCCTGAAATGCGCATCCAACTGCATATCGACGGAATGAAGATATTCAAGGGGTCTAGTCAAGGCCTGTGGCCGATTCTTGCCCGTGTTCGCCATCCAGTTGTTGGTCAGCCCTTCATTGTTGGAGTGTTCTCCGGTCCCGGCAAACCCGATCCGTTGGATGACTTCCTGGGCGACTGTGTTGGCGAGCTGAAAGACCTCCTGGCCAGTGGTCTGCACATTCCACATAAGCAAAATAGCGTAAAGGTGATCTTAGACAAAGTTATCTGCGACACCCCTGCCCGATGTTTTGTGCGGCAAGTTAAAGCTCACAATGGCTATTACGGGTGTGACAGGTATGTTGTTTCGTACCTTTAACTAAAACCACCGCAGGTGTTCCCATATGGGCAAACGTATTGCAAACCGCATGACGTTTCCAGTATGCAGTGGGCGTCTGCGTGACGACAGGTCATTCAGGTTGCGAAGACAGGAACCGCATCACAAGTGCAGGTCTCCGTTCGAGGATTTGCCCGTCGATATGGTGACCTCCTTCCCACTCGACTATATGCACCTGGTTTGCCTGGGCGTCATGCGGAAGTTACTGTATATTTGGCGTCTGGGCTCCAGCAGGCACTCTGACTCATTGAATGAGTCTATTAAGATGTGCTGCCAAAATTTGCCGGCCGAGTTTTCGCATAAATGCAGAACACTCGATTGTCTAGAGTTTTGGAAGGCTGCCGAATACAGGCAATTCCTACTGTACATAGGCCCCGTCGTTTTGTCCTCCGCCTTAAGCGAAGCCCGTTACCAACACTTTTTACGGTTTTCCCTCGCAGTGCACATATTTTGCCATCCCATATTGCATATATCTTGCGAAGAATACGGCTGACTTCTGTTAAATCGCTTTGTTGTTAATTTCCCCACCTTGTATAGTACCTCCGATATTATTGTCCATTGTCTGCTTCACCTGTATGACGATTTGTCTCGGTTTGGAGTGTTGGATAATTTCTCTGCATTTCCTTTCGATTCCTTTTTACAAAGTGTCCGCAGCAGTATAAAAGGGCCTACTAACGTAGCCGCGCATGTTTTCAAGCGCTTTTCTGAAAGACGCTTGCCTGATTTACCAACATGCCGAATGCTGTTAGACGACGACGAGGGAGTAGCACGGGCATTTAAACTGCCTATCGGATCCACCGCAATTTTTCATAGAGACTTTGTTTTGTCAAATAAACAGCCCGATAATGTGGTACTTATCGGAAATAGACCGTGCCTGCTGACATCAGTGTCGGATACCGGCATAACTTACCGCCCGTTCCTCGATTGTGAGGACCTTTTTACAACATCCCTTCCCTCATCCTCCTTGTATATGTTTAAAGCCTCCCGTTTGTCAGACATTCCTTTAACTGCTACCCTCTCAGACATCATTTCTAAATATGTTACCTTTGATATTGACGGTCGTTTTTTTCTGATTCCGTTACTGCACACTGTGCGTGCGCGGTGACTCTTGTTTACATTGTTCATTTGGTATAAATTTCCCTGTAGATGTATTCGGTTGTCGAATTCATAAATGACAAGACTGTGGCCGTGGTGGCTGCAGCCTGGTTTTACGACGTTGGCAGCGTTATGTGGCCAAAGAACAACAAAGAGCGTGCCGTCCTGCTGAATAATAACAGGCGGCCACCAGACGGCACCAAGGTGTACGCTGTTCGGCTACTAAAAAGTAACCTGAAACTGCTGAAGGCCAGACAGCTGGTCCGGAAAGCAGAGCTGTCGGACAACCTTTCCAGCTCTGAGCCGGGCGAATTAGGCAGGGGGATGAGGAGAAAGTACATGTCCCATACTGTTAGTATTTCTTTGCAGGTATGTCCGCAGGCAGACGTCGGATTCAGACGATGATGACGAACCACTTTATCGTCCGAGACAGCTACTTGGTTGGCCAACACCACCACGAATATTACAGTAAGCATAATTATCGTTAATTATTCGTACGCCAAGAATGGACGAACAGATGCCCCACCTCTTCTCTCAGTCGAGTCACCCTACGCCATCGACTTCATATCGGTAACTGCCTGTTATTACTTATTACCGAAGGCTGTCTAGGGAAATGCCGGCACCTGCGCCAGTGCCTGCTACCGAACCTGCATGTAACCATCAGGCGCAGAGTGACACGAATGACGTAAACTTTCGGTTAGCGTCCCTCGACTAAGACTGTTGACAATCTCATTGACAATCTATTAGAAACAAAGTCGATTTCCTGGCCGAACAAATGGTCGCCCTCAACAACAGTGTGCGGCAACTGCAGGCAACAATGACTGATGCTGTCAATGCATTAGAGAGGGGTGCCACTGCTGCCGACGTCGGGCCCTCTCGTCTGCATTTGCCACTGTGCACAGCCGAAGCCTACGAAGACTTCGTTCGTCGGCTAACTACTGAGGCGGAATTGGCAGAAAAGGCGGTATGTGTATATTTGTTTGACTGTTCTCAGATCAGACAGCTGGCCGTGGTGGGAGGGCGGAGTTAAAAAGACTTTGTCAGAAATCTTCTGACTGCTCTCATTGGTCCGCCGCTTTGTTACACCTTCTGCTGGAGGGGCGGATCCAAGGAGGAGCGGTCGTTCTTTGCCTGCCCGTTATTTAGCATCGTCAACGGTAGGTCTACTTTTTGCTTATTGGCACATACAGATGCCATCGGCCAAAACCCCCGTTTTAGCAACTGCAACAGGGAGGTACTTCGACCTACGGCCATGAATTGGTTCCATGGGTCGAAGGACCGTTATGGAGGACGATCGAGACGCAGGCGCAATATTCACACAGTACGACATTTTGCTTTGAATTACTGCCTAAATGTGTTCAATTTCAAGGAGTCCCCACTGATGACCTGGCATGCCCACAACTCTCCCCTAAGAAGCAAACGTAAGTTAACTGAAAAAGACTGCTATTAACACACTTTATGTTATTTCCCTCTTTTCAATAATTATAATGATAGTATGTATTTCGGAAGTATGTATACATACAAGTATGTATGAATTACTGACCTATACTGATCTACTGACCAATTAACAGTGTACTTTGCAATAGCAATTATTATATTGTAATAACTTTTGCAAAGTACACTGTTAATTAACTCGATTATGTCTGCTTGACGTCTGACGTTCGCAGAAGTAGTTAATCCGCCTACCTATCTCTTGAGTTCGAAAATGGAGACACAGCTCAGTTTACCCGGCTCTCGTTGACCGGTTTGGGGTCTGTGTCGGACCCGCATTTTACTGTGATCAATGTCGCGCCCGCCCTGGTTGACCGCGTAGATAACTAACGTCCCTAATTACTTCATGCCGTCGCTGCCTCTTGTCAAAGTGCTTCGTAAAACCGAATACGGGCAAATAAATTAATTTGGCAAAGGACATCCGGGCTTCTCTGCATCAGCCCTGAGGTAAATTAGGGTCATGTACATAGAACTATGTGCGTGAATTTCCAGTGCCTGGGGACGGGCAGACGAATTCACTACTCGGGACGCCGGACCCGCGTCTGGCCTGCCCCGAAGGAAGCCTCCTTATGATACGCCACCTAGGAATTGCATTTCTTATACTATTGACATTATTGATTAGTTCAATAACAAGAGCATTACCCATGTTTTACCACAGTTTTTTTACAGAAACCGCTGATAACCAGTGGAGGCTCTTTAATGTCCATTGGAGAACTGCATCCCCGCCTGTATTTTTCGTACCGATTTCTCATTTGTAAATACTCAATAAACCGTCGTTTCTAACCATTGTCTGTCCACTGTCCTATGTCGTGGGATAGAGTGAACGCTAACTAGTTTGTCCGGTTGTGCACTTACGCGGAGTGTTGACCATTAATGGTCAATCAATTGATTTGCTTTAGCCGAGGCTAGGAGGATCCAGTGACACATGTAATCTTACAGCGACAGTCGCCAGTCTAGAATGAGTGCACTCGCGAGTAAAAACAGAGGCCATAAAAGTGTGGGGGACGAATGGAGAATGGGCGGCGCCGCCACGCTTTTTTTCGGATGGTGTGGCCAGACCTGGCTGTGGTGTCGAAGGCCACACCTTAGCCACGCCAAATGGCCACGTTTGGCCGCGGCGGCAAGGCGTGGCCAGCCGCGGCGGCAAGGCGTGGCCAGCCGCGGCTGGTGCTGGCAGGGAACCCTGCCATGACCACTGAACGAAACTAATCACTGTAGACTGAAGGACTTTGTCCCGCACAAATTTTTATATTCCAGTGTTGTTATTTTATTCACTAATAAACCTCCTTTTCCGCTAATTGCATTCAACCGAACTACGTTATTATATTCGTGAATTCGTCAACAAGCAACTGCTTGTATAATTAATTGGGGGTAATTGGGAAAACAGTACGTTGGGCGTAGTTGGGGTCGATTTGCTATAATAGGTAGTATCTCGGTATATGACGCATTTCTGCCGACGGTTTAGTTATCGAGAAAAGGAAATTCGGAAAGCGTTAATAGGCGAGCCTCCTGTGCATTTTTTTGGGAGATTGGGCCATTGGGGTCACATCCGCCCTATCCATATCGTGGCGCATGCCCGTGGCCCAACCCAGCCCAACTCGCCCTAATTGGGCTAGACTGGGATGGGTTGGGCAGGCGATGACAGGGACGCAACGAATTTTATGTCCGGAAATTCTCTCACACCTTCCACATGAGCCTGTAGCATAGAGGTGCCTCTTGAATGTAAAACAGGGTAGTTTCCCACTCTGCAGAGAGCGGTGTAGAACCAGCGTTAGGTAAGGAAATCTACAACTTACCTTTGGGGTGCTATCTGACAGTTTACATATTCGTCGCCTTTTATTATTTCGTGTTCCCAGGTTTCTGGGCACATTTATTTGGCTCACTTCGCCATTCTTCATTTACCTAATTTAATTGGTTAGCTTTACCGGTTTTCTCGTTCACATGCACGCAAAGTGCTCGCAGGTTCGTCACTTCATTTTGGTAATTGCCGTATTCCCTTCCGTTAGCCTCCCTCCCCAACACGTTCCCAAGGTTCCGTGGGACGTTCGACTGAATAGATAAGTTTTCGTAGTTGTGCAGACTCTCAGAGAGTTCATTAATGTTTAAAGCAGCATGCATTTTTGGACAAACCCCTAATCTTCCCCGAAATTTTAAAACTAATGACATTGAACTGACGCAGTAACGATTTCAGTTTCTTTGAATTGTCTGGCATATGGTGATTAGTTCCGCGTCCCCGGGGTTCGTGCCTTGTTCCTGTTCGCGTCACTCATTTAAAGTTTATTAAATGCTCTTCTTTTGCGATTCATATTACTAGCCAACGATTTTGTTTTTTGGGAATGCCTGAAATGGCCACCAACGATTTCGTGTGATACATTCCCCTGTTTCAGATAGCGACACACTCCGAATATACTGACAGACTTACTACTCTATAGCGACGACTCTGTGTAGCGGCCGAAACCCTTGGAGATAACGCACACGAATGAATTCAAAGTTCTTGCGTATATTCCGATGGAATAACGACTGAACACAGCTATTTAACGAGCCGTACCGATTTTTCCGACAGAGTATAAAAAAAGTTTTGACAACGTTAAAGACTAGAATATGATAAAACGGTAGGCAATGCAAAAAGAAATGCACTTGAAGCATAGAAATGGTCCGTCCGGATGTGGAGGACACCATCATGCCAGCATAACGGCCAGTGGTGAGTGCAGTGCTGTGGTCAACTGCAGGAAGGACCGTGGAGGGTGCTGACACGGTCACACCATTTCTATCTTGGATCCACGCCAGTGTCTTCCATCTTTTCGAACACTCTGCCAATTTCGTGGTGCGTTACACCTGATCACATTGTACTGGCCTCCATCTAGTCCGACACCAGCAACTCAGATTTCGGGTCCTTTATCCAGCTAGTGATCTGATTGACCCCTGACGCCAATTATGCTAGGGGACTGCAGAAAGTATTGTCCCCGCAAGGTCTTCTGTCAGGAGTCAGCCAATCAGATAAATGGCTATGGACTAACCGCAGGAGCTAGCTCTAGGAAATTGTTTTGGTACCAGGAGACCGCCGTAAACTAGGTTGTAGGAAATCTGACGACTTTTGTCTACTTAGTTCACCGAAAAGACCTTGACAATGTCCTCAAGACTCGGGATAGTATCGGTCTGAGAACTGTTATAGAAAGCGGAGACAGTAGACAGGAAATGAGCGTTTAAATAGAGGGGACGACTGATATTATCTTAAGAAAAGAACAGATCATAGTTAAGGAGTAGGGAAACCATTTGCCCTTGATACTTCTATGAGAACGTTGACCAGAGCAGCGACTAATTGTCCTGTAGTCCCTCTTTGTCGCATTCGTCTTTCTGAGCGCGACGAATTCTCTTCTGCCAACGAAAACTTGTGGAAGGCAGTGGAGTGCAGAAAGACTGACTGTTGTCTCAATTGCGTCTGTCGTAAGGTAGTTTTTCTCTCTCAGTGTCACTGATGTGCCAGTAAAGATACGCGAAGTTGTGAGTTCTTCACGTATCATATGCGACAGAAGTCACTTACGAAAGCCGAGCGTGCGCAACACACGTTATGTGTGCGAGCATGTGCTCGTGTCCGTATGCGTTCTTCAGTACATTCGGAAAATGGTCGTCCACTAAATTGCTGCCAGTCGCGGTCGGCTGGATTACGGCGTCACACAATGAGGATCGATAAGTGGACAACTTTTGCCATCAACCTCGTGCACTCATCCAATTACTAGTGTCTTTCGTAGTAATCACATTTCTTTAGAATGCTGAATAAAAACTGACGGCAATATAGACGAAAATGGCGGAAGAGCGAAATCCAGTGAAGTACGGGCCTCAGGCAAGGCGATTGTTTGGGTTTAACTAACAGTACGTGAGATGCTTGCCTGTTGGTCGTCATAACATTCCAAGCGTAAAAAGCGATCAGCATCGGGGAAATGTCGTCCATCGTTTTGTTTACAAAGTGACATCCTCCCTAAACAGTATTGAAAGACGCGGTGCAAACTGTCCGCATTGTTCAGGCACTATTCTTGAACGATGGCCTTCTACAATTCCACGGTTATTGGCCTGTCCTCGTAACCTTGGATTTCGTGTACACTTAACGGAAGAAACCTTGTGGAGCTTATATCAGAAGATCCAAGTAGCCACTCAACTCCGACCGACCCATCCGTCGTCGGAGACCTCGTCTAGGTAATCCTGCAAGATATGAGCATCCTGTGGCGCGACCCAGCGATGCTAAAATCACACATGCCTACGTATCTCAAGACTGTCTAATGCAGGAACTGCTTATTTTTGTTGCGGCAATTGATGATAGGACTGATCTATCATTGGCATAACTTATTTGGATTTGATAGTGATCTCACGCGAGGCATTTTGACTGGAAAAAGTGGTCAGCTTGTTTTGGTTGCTTGACCTTTAGGCTAAACTGCCTTCGGCTGGGCCGCGAGTTGCCTTTATCGTACACACAAAGCTTCTACACCATTTGGTTCAGATAGAACATGATTTCGTCGGTGAAGAGGGTCTCCCAAAAGTCCCGCATTAATGGGAACCGCGTACACGATTTTTACCGTCATTGCGCAAAGCTCTTGAATTATATGGACGAAATTCTTAGAGGTGCTGTGTCTTTCGGCAAGTCGCTGAATGCTCTTTGGCCGCTCCTTTTTTGCACAACGTTGAAAGCACTTACGTCGTCACTTAAGTGTATAATCTGTCACTCCTCGGTAAATCGAGAAGGTGACTATCTTCCAAACTGCTTGTCAAATGAATTACCCCCTGCCGAAATGTCTGACATTGAAGTTCTACGCAACCTCACCATAGTTCGGACTACGTTACATATAAGGACATGTCATCTCCATCCACTAGTCAATGGTTACTTTCGCTGCACTTGGCCCTTCCGCTATTGCTGTTACCATTCTCTGTTTCGGCATGTTAAGCGGACTTTACTGTCACGAAAAAAACTGACAACTGACTGGGGGTATAAGCTTGGTGGGAAAAGCTGCCCCCTTACTTGTCCACGTTGTTACGGGGCGGCGCCCGAGTTGGCCACTGTTTACAACCGTTTAATAGACGGACGTTTGCCAAGGGGGTTAAGGCGCTCATGTACGCGCACATGACACACGTTGCTTAAACTCAGTTCATACCTACGGTACCTACCTGCAGTTACCTCGTTAAAACGGAGAACTATGTTCGCCGCTCAGTTTTAACTGATCGCCTATGATAATCCATCCTCAGGGTCCGATCCTCCGGCGCGGTTTTACACAAATAGTCACCTTTCCTCTCTTCAGATGATGTCTCCCGCCTGTGCACCAGACTCGAAGCTAGAGAGCTTGCAGTCTCAAGCAGCCTCTCCGTGTGGAGACCGTTCTTCCCAGCCCGCTCACTTTGATGAAGAAAGTCTCCGTCAGTTAGCTCTTAGGAGCTTCCTTGGAAGTCTTCACTCTACCTCGTTACAGCTCGCGGATTCTCCGTCACCTTCAGGTAACTTTATTTTTACTATTTGAGCGTACCTAGAAAAAGTTACTGACGGGTCTTATCCTGAGACGGAATCCTCAGGTATGTTTCCTTCAACACACACGAAATTGTCATTGCCCGTTTAGAGAAGGCCACACCTGAGGATACTCAGTCGAATGTATGCTTATAAGTTTCATTATGCTTAGTGCGCTCATAGGCTTCCATGGATGAAATTGAACTGCGAAGAAAAGCCCTGCTTAGCTTCTCGAAACACGCAAATCACACCCAGCCCTCACCCTCCACAGACTCCGAGGTGAAGATGGAGGCCACACCGGTTGGTTCGCCCCCTCATTTGCAGCCGTCCAGTTCTCATCCTAAGTCGCGATTCATTGTGACACTCAATGCCTCATCCGAGGACTCTAGTGACGATGAATTGCACTCCGCTTGTCCCGCGGCACCTGCAGTTAGCGTCACACTTGGCTGCACGTCGGTCCGAACACAAAGCGTCTTATCCTCCCAGCCCTCAGTCTCTAAGGCTGTCTTGAAACGTTCGCAAACGGTCATCACGCTCTCTTCTTCACAAGACGGCAGTTCACCAAACTTCAAACCAATGTCACATACTGCGTCGTCTACCAGCCTTACTACCCTTGTCAATAAGTTCAAGCCACAAACAGGCGCCCTGTCTGTTAAACGCCAATCGCCTCAGCTCTCTTTAGAGTCGTATAAAAAATTGGTTTTACGACAGGCCACCAAAGTTGAGCAACTCAAGCTAATCCTGAAACGTCAACAGAAGCTAGTACTTGAACGTAAAAAGACTGAAGCAAAGCTGACGACTTCCTTAGCTACTCTTAGAGCCAAATTACAGCGTACTTTAGAGTTACAGGCCAATGCCCGCCTGGCTACGTTGCAGGTAAACAGACAGAAGTCGATGACAGTGTCAGAACTTCAGCGTGCCCAACAGCAGCTGCTTAGAATGAATGATGCCGTTGAACAGATGGCACGGAGGGCCGCCATTACCAGTCAGAGGACCAAACCGAAAACTTTGCCGTCTCCTACTCCTCCACCTCTGCCACCACCACCACTACCCCGACCTCCTCAGCTCCCTTCGCCGACATTTATTACTGCCGTCAAAAATTTAAAGGCTCTGCTTCGGCATCTAGAGTCGTCTTTCCGTGTCTCCTCGCCCTTCTTCGAGTACTTTGGCCTACTGCCGCCCCAACTCGACACGAATAAGCCCGTAAAACGCTCAGTGGCTGCAACGCCATCCACGTCCGCTGGGGTTACCCGTTCTGCAAAAGTTGATCCCCTCATACCAATATGTCCATTCTTTCTCGACGGCAATTGCCTAAATTCTGCGTGTAAATTCCAACACCCGTCCACTAACTTGAATAATCCACCTGTGCATTCACAACAACGGTACAATGAAGGTACTCTCTTGGCTGATAAGCGTAGGGCAGTCTCGCCGGGCTCGTGTGCCGTTTGTCCCGTCTGCAACACTACTTTGACTGAAGTTTCTGATGCAGTTCCCCCGCTCTGTGACAACCTATCCAACTGGCATTCAATCTACGCAAATTTCCCGAGCTCGGAGATCGACTGGACCCGTCTCTTTATCCTCACCTCGTCAACCGTCAGTTCCTTCTCAGGGGACAGACACCTCGTGATGCATCACCTGTATACGATTTTTCAGTTACGTGAGAGTCTTTCCAGTGATTTTGTGAGCACAGTCATCAAGTTCCTGGCTTGTTCAAATTTCTCCGCCGACCTTGTTGCTCACGTGACGAGCCACCCCTCGCTTAGTCTGTCGCTTCGCCGTCAGCTCCTGAGGGCTGCCTTACGACACCTTTTGAGTGAAGCGCACTGCCACGTAGATTCCTTTAGACAATCAGTGTGCCTACTAAATCCCATCACCACGGTTGTTTTTTATGCGGGCAAAATAGAATGGGATGTGTGCCGTTCGCGGTTTGGCCTCCAACTGGTTGACGATCTTTTAGGCTTTAGTAAGGTAACCTGGAAGCAGTTGCCGCCTGGTCATCCGGCCCGTTGGGGCGTCTGGTACCTTCGTCTTCTGTTTGATTTGTCCAGCAGTTTCCCACAAGACTACTTTGTCCGCTCTGTCGGTCATGTAGTTCTCTTTGAGTCTGAAAATTTGCTTAGGCAGGCCAATCTTTTTCGTAATGTTGAGGAGGATTTAGGCTTTCCCACCAGTGTTGGGGCATTTTTGGCTGAGTGTCAAGCTGCTGGATTGCCGCAGTCCGCCTACTCCTTCGTGCTGTCTTTCACTCACTTGTATGTGCAATTCCTTGCGGCTGCCGGCCAGCACACCCAGGCAGCCGCCTTTTGTCTCAGATTTTTTGAACCCTCTAGCGCCATCCACTTGCAGGACAATCTTCTGTTTGCGACTGCTGTCAACCTTTCAAGCATCCGCCTCCAAGCTGGTGATGTCGAAGCCTTCAATTGGGTCTCAAGCATTGCCGATCAACAACCCCTTCAGAGCGAATATGCTTTTCTCTTTGCCTGTCTGTTGCATCGCTCCGGAAAGGCTGACTTATGCGGCAGTCTTCTCTCCGAACTGGTTGCAAGCCTGGTGCTTTTGCCCTCAGTAGACTGTTCATCAGTCTACTCAGCTTTTCGTGTCCTTCTTGGCCTAACTGGACCCTGCAATCCGAGCAGGTTCGAGCCGCGCTTCCTTCTCTTTCTTTGGATGTGCTGTGGTCTGTACTCTACCCTCATTCCTCCCTTCCATGAGCCACTCTTACCAGATCTGTTGCGATACCTGACCACCGACTGTCGGGCTTCTAAACTTGCCTCCCTCTACTTTGGAGATGGTTTCCCCTTCCCTTGCATTACTCTGCTTATCCATTTGGGTCTGCGTTTGGCAGCCTCCGAGAACTCACCCATAGGCTACAACTCCGCCCTAGAGACCCTCCTTTTCCTGGATGTTTTCACTCGAGATAGCTCATTTTGCGCCTCGCCACCTCCCTGGTTCCTGGAACTTCTTCAGCAGATTAACTGGAACAAGTTCACTGAAGAGCATCCACCCAACAGTCTGTGCGTTAGGCTTGTCGAAACCTATGGTCACAGTGCTCTGAAGGTGATTTTCGGGTCACTTCTTAGGGCAGGTCATGTTCGGCTCTTGCAGAGTCTCTGTCTGCTTTCGCGTCTCGAGGGACCGATCGATGAGACCTTCTGGTTGATGGTGATGGCCTTGGGTGTACGGTTTCTGACTCCGCTAGTAGATCCAACGGTGAGGCTGCGGTTACAAGACTACCTGTTGGAGTGTTTTGCTGATGCGCTTGCCGTGCTGCCGCAAAGTTGCCTGCTCTGGCGTCACTACGCGGCCACTGTTCGAGACTTCTTCTGCCCCCCCGCAGCAGCCGCTGACACCGAGTCCTCTAGCGGCCCCTCCACTGACGATGTGGAGCGTCTTCGATTGAGGGTGAGGGCTGAAGCTGCGCGAACTGGCATGGAGGCAATTGTGGACGAGGTGTTTAACCAGCCTGTGGGTGTCGAGCTGCCAACAACATGCCTCCAGGGCCTTGCCCTTCCGTCGGTCGCTGCTTGGTGGGGGGAGGATCCAAGCCCCCTTTGACTGAGGCAATCTGTGCCGTAATCCTAGTACAGTTAGCCGTACGTTGGTCATTTTATCTTTTAACCTATCACCTAACCTAACGTTGATGGTCTTCTTTTTCAGTGTTACCTCAGTAACGGCTAACACCAAGTGTCAAGTAATCCATACAACAGCCCTCTTTTTTGCTAACTCAACTGGACTTAGACTCCTGTCGCAGTAACGACGTACGATGGTAGTGGAGGCTTGTTACTGTGCATTGTCACTTCTCCAGTCGGCGTTGACTAACCGACCGTCGTTCTAAGACTGCCCAGTAGTCCACCTGTGCCGGTAGGCAGTTGATATTCGTCAGACAGATAAGGGGCATTTTTATCCCGGCCTTCTTGCAGGTCCAGCCACTCAGTTAAAGCAGTCTAGACCGACCCCGGCGTAAGTGAGACTCCTACGCTGTTTCTTTCACTAACTCCACTCTCTAAACTTTGGCTTCTCACATTTCCGGTGGTCATACTTTCGTGTTCATCTTCCCTCCCCACGCCCTTGCATATTCCTACTGTCCTCACTCGTTTTCGTACACTATCCAAATAGCTCACCCATTCGATAGTTTGTCTGCACTTTGCTCAGAGCCACCATCATCGCAGACATCCGACTACCAGTAGTGTTTACTGCGGAAAGGACGTTTATATATATATATATATATATATATATATATATTTGACCACAACTAGGCCGACCCCAAAGGGAACAAAGGTCACGCAGGCCTATCAGCGGTCAGCTCCGGGGAGGTCTAAGCCAGTCAGCGGCAAACAGGCAGGTCAAAGTTCGTGCGTCCAGCACGTCTATAATACGAGGCAAGCGGCAAGACTGAACAACTCAAGACCCGCAAGTGTAACAATTACGCTACTCTGATGATGGAAACGAGGGAGTTTCCGAAACGTCAGTTCGGATACAATATGGTCCATGGATTCGCCCTCTCTTCTTCTTCGTCTTCTTCGGGAGATGATGAACGCGATACAATGTCTGGACCTCGAATCTTTACGCATATCGATATATATATATATATGGATGTAGGCGAAAATGCTGACCCCAGGTGTTGAAATTGAAGAAGATGGTAAGGCGAGCTCTGGGGATGATGATTTATTCATCTGACGTTTCACACTCATACTCGAGCGCATCCTCGGAGATAGGAAATATTAGAAAATTTCATGGTTTAAACAGGTCCCTCTCGCTCTCGCCTGATAGGGCCGTCAACTTCTATCCTCATTGGGTCTCCCCTGGTGCGTAGGTGGTGTTTGGCGGCCTCGTATGGTGCCGGTAGTTCGACGCCAACTCACTCTCCCTCCTCCTTTTTTCTCTCCCTCTCCTCTCTCCCTCTCTCCCTTCTCTCTCTCTGTATCTTGTTATGTATATTCATCACCCCCTGGCGTTTCAGAAGGGGTGTGTGTGAGGAAGTAGCGCACGCCAAACAGCAATGAGCACATCCGCACAGGAGGACTCTGCCGCTCTGAACACTTACCAATCTGGACTGGACGAATAGTGAGCCGACCGATTCGGGCGATTTCTCAGCTCACTCACGAAAACCCGGCAAACGTGTCAAACGAACCTCCCCTTCAACTATCTGCTAGTTTAACTCAGCGATACGTAACAAAACTTGGGGGTCGGCTAAGTTGCTTTCTGCGCCTTTCAGGGATGCCAGAGAAACTATAATTACTGAAATCCTGACACGGCCATCGGCGAGCAGGTCCTCCCGAGCATTAATTGTATGCGCCGAGTACTGTGAAACATTGATAGGAGCCTCTAAACATACTTTTAAATGGGAAGGCCTACTGATAGACAGCGAACATAGCCTTCAGACCGATTCATACATTGTGGCAGTATGTTGGCTTTCCATGTCCAAACGCCCCAGCTGCCATCGACGATCTCGCCCTGACTAACGTAAAGTCTATTCTTTTCTCAGAAAGGACAGGGGAAGGTGTATTCCCAAGGTCATTCGGTTGGCACCTGCTCATGATAATTAGTGTTCAGGCACTTACGGTAATTGGGTCCAAATAATGCATTATTTGAAGACTTTATGGCATATTTCAAAAATACCTGTAGTGTATGGTTTACGCGTTAACTAACTGCTTGCAGTCCTTTCAGATCTATTTCAGGGCGTTGAGAGGTTTGGGACGTTTGTTCTTAGAACTTGCAAAGAATTATGGAACCGCCTTGAGGGAGGATACATACCCACAGATCAGGTGATTTCAGAGTACACGTGACTCGAGGACGAAACCCGACCAAGCAGAGTTTCGGGCCGGACGTGGATGCGCCGACGAGATATTCTCACTACGACCCATTCTTGAAGTCCGCCAGGGCCACCACCAACCGACAGCCGTCTGCTTTCTTGACGTCGCCACAGTCTTGTATTCCGTCAGTCGTGAGTCCCTGTGGCCACAGAAACCATCGCCATAGTTAGAGTTCCATGACTGCGCGAGTCCTGGCCTACAGCAACCTCTCCCTTTCGATATTCTGTCTGGCATTCTACAGGGTTGTACTCCGTTGTCCATTCTGCTCAAATACTTCATTGACTGGATTCTCGGAAAGGCAGCACACGGTTTTAACTTTGCTAGATTTCGATCCGGTCATGCTGACGATATCGCCCTGCCAGCCTCAAGTTTTGGTGACCTACAAGACTATGGTGTTGTGTGGGAATGCGTTCTCTAAATGTTTCTAAGAGGCATCCCTGACCAGAAGAAAGCATCCCTCAAGATTACTGATTGTCGGCGTTGACAGGTAGACAGTATCAAATTACTTGCGCAAGGCTGCTGCCGAATGGAAAGAGTAAGGACAGCATCGTCTCCGAAGTCCATCCTGCCCCATGCGTTTTCGCAATCCGTAGAAAGTCTCGGTCGGCACAGTGCGATATCTCCACCGTCACAGAGGTCGGCGCGTACCGGACATCCGTCCGACCAGTCCTCCGATACGATTGTAAATGCTGAGTTGTGTGCGTGAAACTGGGAGATGCTTAACCGCCGCTGCCTGATAACCATCCTTCGAGTGAGGTAAACTGACCTGGTTTCGAATAAGCCAGTCCGCGCTCGTTGCGACAACACCGCGGGGATGTCTCAGGCCACCCAAGAAATACGACTTTAGTGATTTGGGCACGTTCTTCATTGTCCGCCTCATGAGCTCAGCATTGCTGCCCTCGATCCGGCGCCGTTGCCTTCATAGAGGCGTCAACTCAAAATCTGGCTAGACGCAGTTCTCCAAGACATTAAAGCGGTTCCTGGACCTTCCGTATCTAGTCTCTGTTGCTGGAGAATAGAATGGGCCAATCTCTCCAGATCTTCTACCACAGGTAGTCACTCCTGGAGAGGTAACATTCGCGACAGATCATGCATGATCACACCTGCAGACCGTGCTTCAGGAATTATAGAACTTGTCATTAGTAAAGGCATTTCATAGGCTAGCGTCATCATTTTAAAGAAGTAATCTCCTTAGAATCAATCTTATGAGGTAGGCTTTCCTAATCTCTTCTGCGACAAAAATGCTTTATTTTATATAGGCATGGAAGGACTAATGAGAAGATTACATAGTGCCTAAATCGAGTATTTTTTTGCTGCCAATGAGAACGCCAAACATTTCTTCGATGATTTGCCACTGTCCGAAGCTGGATATAACCCAACAACCAGGTGAAGTCTGTCGCCTCTCTCCCTCCACAGTAACCCAACTGCCTCGTCTCCCTAGATAATCTCTATTGTTCACGTCGGTGGGTTGAATTGGGTAGCAATCATCTCGGGATGTCTCTCATCCAGTATAAAATTAATAGGAGATAAATTCAGAGTAGATGGGTACCCCTATTGCTGTGACGACGAGGCCTGGTCCCCTTCCTCCCCCATCGACTTTACGGAGGAAGTCAGTCCTCGCCCGCTGTCTGCTTTGCTTAACGGTCGCCTCATCGACCTGATTTCTTTGTTGCAGTATTCCTAATCCATCATCAGCACTTAGAGACCTCAGGCTAAGAATTTTTTGAGTCCTCAGTCATTTCAAATTCGTTGCTGATGCCCCTTCCAATTCCTCGAGCTCGTCTTGTCTCCGAGGCTGGATCAGCGAAGGGTGCCTGGTCGGTGAGGCGGAACTCCATTACCCGTTGTTTCATCTCTTGCAGCCTCCAGCAATCACTTCATGGATGATGTTCAGGAGAGCAAGCATGTTTGCCTCAGCTACAGCCGGCGCTGTTTCGCTTCATTCAATGTTGATCGGTGAAAGCTGGACTCCGTTCAGTGTTTGAACTACTTCCTTCCTTCTTGACTCCCGAACTCTTCAAGTTTGTTACATGTGATACTGTACAATGTATCTCCGCTAGCCCAGACGACCCGTTACTTTGTGTCTATTTTGGTCAATGTAATCTTTAACTAATAAGCTACTATTTATTTATCAGTAGAATTTTATTATTACTCTATCTTGGGTTCGTCGTTGGTTTGAGCGCTCGTAACCGGTGGACACCGGCCTTTTTTATTCCGAAGGGCGGACTTTTATGCTAATTCGAGCAGGTGTTCAGGTTATATGATGGATGGTTCCGGAGTGCTCAAATGATGCCTTTAGACTGTCACACACTATTATTTGCAGGCAAGGCTTCGGTCTGGTTTTGCGCTGCGTCCTGGTCGCTGGCTTTTCCGCAATACAACGTCTGAGACTTTAGACCGAGATTTTAGCGTCTGCATTCGCCGCTGCTCGATTTTTACGTTCACTTTTCTGATCGAGCCTGATGCACTCGTTCCTAGTCCCTCCGTAATAATATTGCTTGCCACGTCATCCGCGTTTGCTGGAACGTTTCGACTTATGTGCCTAACACCTGTCAAAGAAGCCACCGTTTTGGCGTAAGCCACTTGTCGGTCGAAGAGAGCAATCGTTTCCGTGAGCGCCATCAGTGGTGGTTGTCTGACTGTTCACCTCTAAGAATTGGATTTCATTACTCCCCAGATAGTGAAAACAAACTCCCGTTTTGTGGTCGGTTTAGAAAATAGACTCAAAGGGGGAAGCAGGTAGGCTGCGACAGCGCACCTCGCATATCGCAGTGTTGAGCCAGGTTTCTGATTCTGATGTTCGCAGATTGTCAGGTTTGAAGACGAGCCTCGAATGATTGGTTGTTCCAAGGACAATTATTACTGACTGGTATGGGCAATGGTATGTTCTGACGTTCAGTCATTGTATTAAGGTTCTCAGAGTCCTCAACTCATCTCCCTCCCCAA